CACTGGGAACGATGTCAAAGTAAACGCTTTGGGTCAAATTCACTCGAATAAACCCTTTCAGTGTCTCACGCTTCTTTTCCAGAGTCACAGAGCAGCACAGCCTATTACACGCACAAACACAAAAGAGAAAGAGATAGAAGATGCGGGGTATGCTATGGGGCGGGCAGCGACGCCATAGAGAGGGCCCCGCACACCATCGCACCACACCACACACCGCGGAGACATGCCCGGCCGGCCGGTCAGAGATGACAAAGCAGCCTGCCGACTTATTAATGAAACAAAACAGAGAGCGGTGCGCTCCCCTCGGCCATGGAGCCCTCTCGTCTCTCTCCCTCTCTCTCTCTCGGCCGCTCCCTGCTACCCGCCGGGCCGGGCGCCCCACCCTCATTTGATTCATCATTTGCGCTTCACTGGCGCGCACAGCAGAGATGTGCGCTGGCGTGTGAGTGCGAGAAGGAGTGGGGCGGGGGAGAGGAGGGGGAGGGGAGGGTTAGGGCGTAAATGCCGGAGCCGCCGCTACGCCACCCGGCGAAGGGCGTTGACGACAATATGTGTGCGGTTTGACGAGGAGAGGGAGGCCTGCCTGGCCGGCAGCTCACGCGCGGCAGCATGCCGCAGCCCCCGGAGCCGTTGTGCACCCCCGTCTTCTCCCCTCCTTCCTCCCCCCGGGCCGCTCCCGGCGCCGCGCCCCGGTGCGCCGCCGATGAATATGGCCGTTAATGACGGGGTAAACACGGGCCGGCGCTCTGTCGCCACCCTCCCCTCCTCTTCCTCCCCCTCCCCTCCTCTCCCTCCCCTCCCTCCCCTCCCCTGCTGGGTTCATTACCCGAGCAGCCGCCCCGCCGCCCAGGACCCCTCAGCTGCAACAATTTGCAAATTTTCCTCCTTGGCTTCTTCTCCCGCGCGCCACCTTTTGAGCGCGCGCGCGCGCGCATTCTTTCCTCCACCCGCACTGCGGCGCTGCGCTGCTGCACATTTGGGCGCTAAAATACAACAACGCCGCGAACGCGTGGGAGAAAGAGAGGAGAGGTCCTGATGGAGCGCCTCGCTTGGCGGAACGCGGCTCAGGCTTCGGCGAACCGTTTTGCATTCACCAAGCAGGAGGACAGCAAGCGCTAGTCGATGTAATACTCCTTGTACACCCTAACGAGAGTATAGACGGCGATAGGAATTTTGCAAACCAAAACTACTGTTCAGACACGGAGGGCAAGTCAGTAAAAGTATGTACTGTTCACATTGCTGTTCGCTACTTACTTACAGCGACTGGCGTAAGCTCACTCAAAGGGGTTACGTCTTCTATAGGGCTAGAAAAACGGTCCGGCACCCGATGGAGGAGGTGGACCGGGACTGGGGCGGACAGGAAAAGGGAAAGCGAAGCAAATATCGAGAGAGGGATCGAGAGAAACGCGGAGGGGAGAAAGAGAGTCGGAGAGATCCGTCGTGTAGAGTTTCAATAAGTGCGAGAAGGACAGAAGATGTAGCCGCCACGCTCTCCGTCTCCATCGCAGCGCATTCCCAGCGCGTCGCCGTGGGGCCTGTTTTCCCTCTCGTTCCGGTGTATCGAGTTGCCTACCGGGACGTTCCGGGCCATTTTCCCCCGCAGCCTCTGCCCGCCTCACCCCA